GCTGGAGTGGACCAGAATGACATTCTTGTAGTTATTTTCCTAATGGCTGAATTACGGTAGTTTAGTGGGGCTGGAGTGAACCAGAATGACATTCTTGTAGTTATTTTCCTAATGGCTGAATTACGGTAGTTTAGTGGGGCTGGAGTGAACCAGAATGACATTCTTGTAGTTATTTTCCTAATGGCTGAAGTACGGTCGTTTAGTGGGGCTGGAGTGAACCAGAATGACATTCTTTACGATTAAAATATGTGAACATAGTTTCAAATAAAGTTAAGTTGTGGATACAATCTTTTTACAGTATCAAAATTCCATGTTACATTATACGATTAATTTGAAAATATTAACATCATTTTATGTTTGAAATGATGTTTTAATAAACAATAAAAATACATAGCTATTATTTCTTTTTGAAAATAAATAACATATCAATTATATTTTTCTAACTGGAATGCTGTACCCTAATTCATTATATAAACTTAATTGACAAATCGTTGGTAAATATAAACTAATTATATGCCCAAAACACAGCCTACATATGCACATTTCATTTATAGGCAATAAATTTATTAGGATTTAAATGGTGCTCTTGCACACAAAAATTTTACTACTACATTACTAATGAACTACTTATAAATGTTTCTAAGCCTAAGCACACACTGCTTCTAATCACAGCCTTCCTGTTAGTTCTCACCTTTCACTCTACTTTCTTTACTAGATGAGTTTTGTTTAATGGAGAAAATCTTGACATTACTATCATTTGCATCATTGGTATGAGATTTTCAAGTGCCTCAAAACTTTAAGTAAAATTAACTATTTGGTTAAAACTAAATTAGTGACATTACATCTTAATTGTAAGATTTTCAGCATGGTTTAACATAATATATTAAATGAAAAACTTATAATAATGATTACTTATAATTTCAGATAACTCTGAATCAAAAATTTGTAACCTGTGTTAAGAATGAATCTTTTATATTAACAACTATTTTCATGATTTTATAATTAAATTTTGCTTTAGTTAGTTAGACTATATTAGCATATTTATAGATGAATCTCTATTCCAGTTGTCCTATGTTTATAAAACCTTAAGTTGATTTGACAGTTTTCCCGTACAAACAGCTGATACGTGCGAAAACTTCTACCAGGTGGTTTTAGCTTTTGGACAAAATTTGAACTGTCGTATTTAAATAGATTAGTTATCATCAGCATTTCTTTCCATAAACGTACCTTAGTTTCAATTGGCCCTGGAGCTATACAGTTAAACCTCATCCCATACTGGGCCCATTCAGAAGCTAAAGATCTGTAAAAATAAAGAATAGGCTTATAAAGTTAAACCCCAACCCAAACTGAACCCTTCAGAAGCAAACTCCTTGTAACCTTGAATAACAGACCCTCAGATTACAGTACCAAAAATATGTAAATATAAACAAGATAATGTCAATTAAGTAACAGTAATAACTATAGACTTTATGGTTACAGAGATAAACTTCATTCATAATCTAACAACCTATAACTACGAATAAAAGACCACAGTAAGATTAATTATTTGTAAACAGGTAAAAAACATATCCTAGAGATTAAAAGATAAGTTTCATCAACTAAAAAAAAATGTATTCCAGTGATACTTCTATATTTTTTATCTAAAAGAAGATAGAAACAAAATAAAAAATAGGAAGAAAAAACACTAATATGTATCAATATAAACCTTTCACAATAAACAATAAAACAACCTGTAACAACAAGTTAAATAAATTGTATATAAAATAGAATCATAAAATAAACAGTAAAATATATAAAAATTCAGAATAATATCAAGATATCACAATCTCTTGATGATTAAAAACATTTTACTGGAAGCAAGTAACATTAATTACAGTTGGTATGAAACAAGCTGTTTGCTTGATCAGTTGATGAAGTTATCCAGCTTTTCACATGGAAAGGAATTCATTAGATTTACTAGCATATTGTAAAGCAGAGATGTATCAAAACCTAAACTCCTTTTATTGCTTGACTCTAACTCTGCTGTTCACATCTTGTTCTAAAGATAATTCAGCACCTTGACACAGGACCATCTCAGCAATTTGATGGTGCAGTTGGTTGAATTTCTTAATTCAAAATGAAATATTAAAAAATGGAGTAATACTCACTCTTGTATGTCGCACTATAAGCTGTTCAATTTACATTACTTCTACCAACCACAGCCAATAGTGCTTAACCAAATAAAAACCCAAATAAGCACCACTTATTTACTCATGCTTAACTATCTTAAGTACATGTTTATAAGCAAGAGAAAGGTCTGGTTCTGAACCATATGAATCTGATGGTTGTGTGTTAATTTTATGGTCAGGAAGGTTGAAATTTGTTATAAAATGTTGAACTGTGTTTACTAAAATCTTTGCTCTGACAGAATTTTTTTAATATCCTATTTTAGTGAGTGATAATTTTTGTTTTCCAAAATGAGTCTTCAAAACTTCCAAAATATATTCATGTTTTCCTTAGTTTTAAAGAATCAAAAATTAAGGCATAGTACGAAGGTTAGAGACCACATTTCACATTTCCCAAGTGCAATGTAACATTGTAAGTACTAAGAATCATTGTTTTTATGTATATTTTTCACTTAATGTTACAAGTTTGAACAAAAACTGAAGCATTTATGAGCAAATAGTAACAATATATGTAGATGTAATATATATATATATATATGGTAATTAAGACAGTTGACAAATACTGGTAAGCTAAGTTACAGGTTTATACTTTGTAGACCAGTTTTACTATATAATTATAAATTTGTCTACTGAACATGTGTTATTCTTGTATCCAGCTGCAAAGTACACATCTCATGACCTTTTTATAACTTTATAATGAATGTATGTTAATAAAATTAACATTAAAACATAGTATACAATTCAAATTATATTATAAGTTTTAATTTCTTAATTTTAGACTGAAATATTTAATATTTCAATCTTCACCTCATGTATCTGCATGTTAAATTGTCCATTTTAAATATACATTACCAAAAAACTTGAAATATGAAAACTTGAAAATGAAAAGTTATAATTTTCCTATACTGAAAATGTCTTTCTGTTGGGTACTTACCTCCACTAACAAGATTAGCTATTTTCATTCAGTGCTGCCCTCTATATGCAAACTTTTCAATCGCATGCCACAAGCCTTGCACATCCCCCTCTCTATTGGAAATATCATGTTCCAACATGTCTGTCATGCAAATCATCATGCATCATCTCTTAACCAATATCAGCATGACATACGTGTGACTCCCTCTACAAAACCTTCACTTCAAAGTTTGTCAGAAGGTGCAAGTACCGGAGAAGTGGGGAGAAAGGGTGGGAAGTGTGACATAAGGTAGTACCTATCGGAAATACATTTTCAGAATAGGAAAATTATAACTTCTGATATCGTACTTGCCTCTTCTCACAAGATTAGCTAGAAAAGGAGGAGGGACCTGTGCGAGGGAATAACACAAGCACCCCTGAAAGCATCCAAAGGATACCCTTGAACATGAGAGAGAGATAGAGATCCAGAAATCAGAGGAGGGGAACCACACCACTTCTGAGCCAGGTATACTATACTATTTGTTATTGTGTATAATTTGTAAAACACACAGGCAAAAATAAAAAGTGTAGAGTGGCTCTCTTCTTTTTTATAGATGTTATAATTTTCTATACTGAAAATGTATTTCTGAAAGGTACTTACCTCAAGATTGGCTGTGATGAAGATAATTGGAGACGAACATACTGAGCATGGTTCACATGCCAGCTTGGAGAATCTCTTCCAATGAACGGCAAAGATAGGAAATGAGTGAAAATGTGAGATGACAAATTTGATGGGAGGACACATGGAACAAGGTATGGTAAGAAGAAGGTACAGAGAAGTAGGCCAAACAGACCAGAAGGTGGATCCAATTCATAAAAGTAGAATGGGAAAGATCACAAAGGGAGGAAGATTGTCAGGGAATGAAAAGATATTTGTGTGTAACCTGGAGGGTAGCAATAAGTGCAATATTACACCAAAGAGCCCTGACAGGACACAGCAGTCTATCAGGGTCTGGATGAGGGTAACCTTCTTAAGCAGTCTTGGGGAAAAAGGAATGATCAGGATAAAGGAGAGGATAGGTAGTATGATAAAGGGTAAATGAAATGTCAATGGCAAATAAATCAGATTGGCAATGTCCACAGGCCAAAAGGAGAAGGAAATAGGCCTTAAGGGACAAATGAAACAAGGAAAGTGGTTCAAATGGAGGGAAAGTCAGGGCATGGGGAACCACATTAATGTCCCAAACCTGAAGGGAAGGATGCCTGGGAGGCCTCTGAATCCAGAAAATATGAATGAGCATAGTGAGAATAGGGGAAGTAAAAACCCTATGGTATCTGGAGAAACAGAAAGCATGGGAAAGGGTTGCCCTATATCCAGAAATCAAAAACCCATAGTTGAAGAGACAGGTGAGAAATTCTGCCACCCAAGCCACCGAAGGCTTGGCAGCAGGAAATCCCCTGCCAGAAGACCAACAGCAGAATAGAAGTAGCTAACGGGGAGACAACTCGATGTGTGAAGCCAAATCTCCTCGCTCTTGCCGATTGTTTCAAAATAGAGAAATGAGTTATTTTCTATTGTTACCTGGCATCTTGACAACTGCTTGGTTTAAATATTTAAAGTTGCAATATACGATTGTATCTAGGGAACTGGTAAATGAGGATTTGAGTTTCAATGGCATCATTCTATCCAGGTTTGACTCAATAGAGGTTTTTGGAGTTATTATTTAGAATAACCTCAGATAGGATGAACAAATTGATTTCTAAAGAGTTCACCTGAGTTGTCAATATAATGAGATCATGTAAGAAGGTTTTCTGCTTTGAGTCCTCTATCAAATCTATAATGTCATCTTCTATAATAAATAAACTTAGTATTCTGAAAACTGTTTAATCTCAAAGTCTAAGAATATAGATTTTTCTCATAGTGACTATAAAGCATGTTCACGCCAACAATATATTTGTCATCTTCTGTAGTCAAATGACTTATTGTATAAGTGTTTAGGGCTCACACTTTAGTGCATTAAGACCAATCTGGCTGTTGCAAAAGAGGGTTTTGAGGCCTATGATAGGTCTTCCTTATAGAGCATCTGTTTCTATCAGACTTAAGGAATGCGGACTATTAACTATTTATCAGGCCTGTGTTTACCACTTTATTTGTGTTGCTAAGGATTTTACCATGTTTACTCCTGATATGAATTTGTTAATCCCCTCTAGAGAAAACATATATTGCTTTCATAACAGAAACATTTATTACTGTCCAAGAATAGATCGGTTTTGAGTTCTAAGTTTTTTTTATTATTTGGCTCCAGATATTTTTAGTCAAATGAGCTTTTGATGATTGGTCAACCTCCAATATTAAGTTATTTAAAATAAAAATGTGTAATTGTGTATTTAATGATTTCTCAATTTTTGGTTTAGCACATGTATAAATAATCTTTTTTATATGGTTACTCATCCTTGACAGCTGTAACTTTACCAATTAAAAATAATAATAAAAAACCCATAAAATGACCAGTAACAGCTCCTGATGTGACAAAATTGAAACTTTTCTCTTAATCTCTATTCACTTGTCATAAACTGGTACAGATAAACAACAGACCAGAGTTATTTTTATAAACATAACATCATTTTGTTATTATCGAGAAATCACCAATCAGTAAAAATTAATAACAAGCCACAAATATGATACTAGCTTCATACTGTTCCTATTCAGAATGGAAGAAACTTGTAAAATGTTGTATAACAAGTCATAAGATTATACAGTGAAATATGACATATTACTTCCCTGACCTCAGTTCAAAGGTAAGAGTTAACCCTGAAGAGATATATCTTTGTGTAAACTTCATCCATAGCCCACAATTATAATTTCAGCTTATCTACTTTTGTAGACATTCAACATTTAAATTAGCTATTTAGGAAATACAGATTATCCAGAAAAGAAACTATCTTCGCAGTAGACCTCACCATAACTTACTTGGTTAGAACCTCAACTCCAGTCTTCGCTGCTGCACTAGGGACAACAAATGATGACCCCTGAGTGCAGTATGTTGCCGTAAGAGCCAGAAAAACTCCACCTACATCAAGCATGAAAAGTTGATGATTTTCATATTTGTCAAACAAGCAAGTTTTGTATATATAATGAACTTCCAACACACACACACACACTTATACTATAGACTGACATCAGTTCCATTAATTTTAAGATGTTTAATGATCTTGTATATTCAACAACACAAACTGGAGGTTACAATACCACTATAATATTGATCTGTTCCAAGTTTCAAATGATGATTACTTCAGTGTGCATTTTCAGTTAGACAGTGCACACTATAAAAATGAGCAAAGATAACAGATTAATGGCATCAAATCACTATATACAATTTAACTTTTTGTTTGTAAACTGGCAGTAGGCATAATTGTTCACTTTTGTATATCATCCAACAGTTAGGAAACATACGTTTCTGTCAGTTCTTTTATTAACATACAGACCATGAAGTCCTTTACTTTTATACACATTCTGGTACAGTGAAATTTGTTGGTACACATATAATTCCTATTTTTCTGTGTATACCTTCTTATAAAGAAGGATTAAATTTTACAGTTACGTATTGTGAAATATATCACAAAACTTAACACACAAGTCAATTAAGTTGAAAATCATACGGTATTCTGTTTTCTCATTATCCAAGAAAATACTGACAATAAATTCACAAGTAATAACGAACTTATAATCAAGTTTAAAAATACAGTTGAATCTTTACTACCTTGATTAGCTTTAATAAGGCGTTTTCCAGTTTCTAAAGTTACATAAGCAGTTCCATTCAGAACAATATCTATTATAGTTTTCCAAGCATTAGGTGACAGTCGCTCAGTTGGCGAGATGAAGTTGCCTGCTGCATTATTTATAATTATAGAGGGTAACCCAAGCTTGTTTTCACAGTCGTCAACTGCTTTCTTAATTGCTTCAGGGTCTCGCACATCAGCTGCTATTGGCACCACCTAAAAATAAACAGGACGTTTATCCTTTTGTTTTCTAAACAGACACCGATATTATATATTTCATAAAAGAAGTTTTACAGTTTTATAAACTAAGGTTTGGTAAAATGCAGAAATTACTTACAAAAATAAAATTTGGTATACAAACCTATATGCAATTCTTCAAATGTTATAAGGTTGGTACAATTCAAATGTATGTGATGAATTGTACAATGAACGTTTTCCTTTTATGGAAGCCACAATATTCATCTGTACGGCAGACAAAAAGCTACTTGCATATAATACAGTTTTAAAAGTAATTTATTTGATACATATATGAGGGGTACCAATTCAACACTTCAGACAAATAATGTATAAACATATATGACATGGATAAAGAGATATTACAAGGCAGAAGAGTGAAATGTACAAAATGTAGGTGCAAAAGATAAAAGGAAATGGGTTTTATAAATTATCAATTCCTTATGCTCCTAGGAATTATATAACCACTTTTGTTTCCTCAAACTTTTTGTTAATATTACAAACATTAATACAATGCAGCTGAAAGCTTGAAGTGGTTATTGTTAAGACTGCATTTTTGCTCAACCTGTGACATTTTTTTATCTTGTTCACAAGAAACTAGTGTTATTTATATGAACAATTACGACTAGGCTTAATTTCTTATTTAAAATACAAGTTTACCAGAAACCGAGTTCCAGAGGAATACACTGAAATAATTTAGTTTGTCAAAATTATGTTACAGCATTTTTTTTCCCAACAACAGCAAATTCTCAATTCCTGAGAACAAAATGGAATGAAACATTAGATATATTTGTCAACTAATTGTGTGTGTGTGCAATATTTAACATAGATATGACTCAATTTATATTTCCATATATGCTTCATAAAACCAGATGAGAAAGAAGCAAATAAATAAACAAAATACAAATCCATACTGTATATACTTCTTCTTTGCTCTGTAAAATTCAAAGTGCATCGAGTTATTATCACTTGTGTGCTTTTACCACACACACTTACAGCACAGTATGATCAGCTGATTAGTTTTTGGCAGTAACAGTACATAAAATATTGAAAAATTTATTCCAAACAGAAACCATAGTTTTCAATGTCGCTATTAAGATTTTTTTTGTTTTTCAGTATCTATTTCATAAATTTATTGTTTTAATTTTGGCATTTTCCTTTTAGTTTTCATTATCTAATAAAACACTGGTTGAGGTATGTTATATTTAATTAACATTGAAATAATATGGTGTATTCAAGCACTTCTATTTTTTTGGGGGGGAAGGCCTCAAGCACTGAATTTCATACTAGTATTAATTTGACAAAACAGAATCAACAGTGTATCATTGCTTATATTTAAACACTATATGATTTTGTAAAATTAAACAACTATGATATTAAAGTAACTTTGTGATGCAACATGCATACTTTTATGTATCTGACTCCAGCTATTACTTTACTAGTCAGTGTACTTAGAAATAAAATTAAGACAGAATTTACGAATATATCTAGCAGGAATACCTGTCCACTGGACGGGTGCAATAAAAACTTTAATTTTTCTTAACATAATAGACATTAAAAGTGCAATAAAAATACATAAAGGTAGCATACATCATTGATAGTGTTTCCAGTACTAGGTCAGGAACAAATACACACACACACACATATTGATGTTTATTTATACAGATAAAGCATATGCATCTTTCTGTTCACAATACTAATATATTATATTTAGCTTTACAAGCACAATTTTAATATTATACTTGAGAAAACAAAAACTGAGAAAAAACATCAAGAATCTGTTGTATAGTAAAATCTCAATCTTTATTGTTAAATATTTTCAAAATCAAAATAAGTTATTTACTTTTTGACCACTTGATTTACTTATTTCTTCTGCAGTATTTTCCAAAACATCAAGTTTTCTGAAAAAAAATTTATAAAAAGCCTAATAACACAGGCCTGTGATAGTTTTATTGTCTTGAAATTTTTACATGTTCGACTGTAATTCCTGTACGCTGAATCCGAAAATGATATCCATTTTTCTCCATCACGTACAGATTTTTCACAAAACGTCATAATGCACTACTTAATAGAAAGATCACAAAATGTAATTTTGAGATTAAAAGATGTAGATTTCTCACAAAAAAATCAGGATGAATGAGGATGCATATTTGTTTGACATCAATGTTCTTCCCTTTTCTTTAGTTTGTATTTTTGTTAACAAAAATAATAATAAAAAATGTTCATTGTGGTAAATGAAATAATAATTTCATCTAAGTAAGTTTTTTTTCTCCCCAATTTGTAAAAAATCCTTACGTGGTAGAAAAAATGAATATTATTTTTAAAATCTGCATAGATGAATTATGGAAAATCCATTAATAAAAACAAAACAATTTCATGAAGTTTAAATTCGCAGACCATGTTTAATTAGGCACCAGTAAACACTTACATAACAGTTGTGTATTCTTAACCAAATTTAAATTCTGAGTTTTAGATTATAAATATGGAAATAATAAGTTAATAAATGTTTCAAATAGTTTGGTATAAACTCCTTGAAGTAATACCAAATCTGCAGACTACAAACAAAATATTTAAAAAAAAATCTTAGTATTCCATAATATACAAGTTTATTGTGTTTGCTAACTGCTTATTTAAAATAAAACATTTATATATTTATGTGTATATTTAACTTAGAATGTCAGTCATGAAATCTGCAGAGTTCCTTTTGCTCTACCTACCTATTGTTCTGGGTCATTCACATAAAGTATCACCTGTGCCTTTTATGGGAAAAGATTCCATTAAAGCTGTACACACTACGTGAGGGTAGATAGCAATCTTTTCCATTGGCAAGTCAGGGACCCATTAAGGATATAAGCTCCCTTATTTTGTGTGGAAATTATCAACATTCATATGAGTAGTGCAAATGGCCGGATAAGGCTAGCATTGTGGTTTTATGTATATAATGCTATGTTTTCTCAGTCTGGAACAAATTTAGACATTCTGACAATTTCTTGGTTTTACACACATAGAAAGGTCTCTCCAGTAAATGTGTCATCTATTATAAAATACACAATTTGATTTTTTTAATGCTACATACTTTCATTTTCTCATACATTATTTTATTTCTTCAAAGTCAGAGAATTCAGATTTGCTTCATAATACATTTCGGTCAGATCTCCTGTTATTCTGTGAAACCAGCCTCATCACTCTCAGAAGAGATCAGTTCACCTGAGAATACCACAGCGTGTTTGGGAAATTGAAGGTTTTGGTGCTGTGACTATAGAATTTGTTTTTGAAGAGTTTTCTGTTTTTCCCTGTGCCTTTCTTATCTTTAGAATTATTAAGCTTAAAAAGGCATTACAATTGAAAAAATGGAATTTTTCCAGAAGTCAAAAGACTTAAGACCAAGCGGAAGAATTAGTCACAGAGAGGAGATGGTTGACCAAGAGAGTTTTTCAGGTCTTGGGTAAGTCCTGTTCTTGATATCAGACTTTCACTGATGTTTTGAAGGTCTATGGGTCTATGATTTTTTTCTCTTGCTACATTGCAGACTAAGGAATGAAAACTGCTAGTATCTAGTATTTGAACACTCAGTCAAATTCTTCTCCTTATGGTTGATCTCAGTAATGGTGTATCTGATAAGTACAAGACTGAATAGGGTGGTCTCTAAAGGACTTCAAGGATTTTGCAGACCAAAGTAACCAACCCAAGTTCTGATTGAAGCCAGCCAAGACTAGCTGAGTGACTGGAATAGCCAATGTTGGTTGAAGTCCACCAGGTGGAGCTGTTTTGATAGAAGGTGAGACAGGGAGCACCAACTGAAGTTGATGAACCATAGGACAATCAAGAGTCTCTGCATAATGAGAGATATACCCTCAGGGTACCCTAGAGTTGCAGAGTTGATGGATGGGCTACCTTGTCATTTTGTTTCCACAGGCAGGCATCTAATGCTCATTCTAAGTATGCCCACCATACTGTACCCTGGACCTTTAGGGTGTCTCCGTTTGGTGTTGGCCAAGAGGCATTTGCCTTGTGAGAAAAGTGAGACAGATCTAATCGTGAACACTTAAAGGTGCAGCTAAAAAGGATCTGGACCATTTCCTGAAGTGTTTCAGTCAGGTTACTGCTTAGAATTGGTGATCTTAGGAATAGGTGGTGTTACCACATTTGTTAGCTTGGAAGGCTTAGCCCTCAATTCTACTAAGTATTGGAGTGAGGCACAGCTCTAAGATTGGGTCACAGTTGCAGCCACGTTGTGTTGATGCTTTGACCCAGTGGTAAAATTTAGCTATAGATTGGGCTGAGTTCAAAATTCATATAAGAGATGCCACAGGGATCTTTCCTCCTTACATGGACAATCTGTGCCATTTGTACAGTAAAGCACACCTTGCAATAGCTTGTGAGAATATTCTCATACATAAGCTTATCAAGAGAGTTACCTGTAAGGCAATGAGGAACCACTTGTGTGTGAGAGACATTCTCACCCTAATTGAGGTAGTTTCTGCTGTGATAAGGTTCAAAGTCATAACTATGAATAAGTTGCAGGAGAATAAGAAGCCTGCAGTGGTCAATTCTTCACAGTAGGTTTATGTGACTTGTTGGAGATAAATTACAACAATAAACAGACAGCACACAATACACTTGTCTAAAAATAATATATTCAAACTAAGTCAAACATATGTACAAAAATTCATTACACTATTGATTATCACAGTTGTATCCAGAGTCTTAAATAATTGTCTTTTGTTTTGTCAACGTCCTCACCCTTTGACATTACAAATTATTTTCCTCTACTCTGTTATTACAATACAAGTCGTGAAACTCACTTCAGAAATCGCTGTTATGGTTAAACTCACATGCAATCTAAGTTCACTTTTTTTCAGTTTTACTAACTTCCTTACTTCACTAACTTTATATATACACACTAGCTAGAATACTGTTGGATTTACAAGACTGTTTAGTGTAAGTGTTACTATTTAGTTTATTTTGTGACTTATATTGATTGTTTAGTTTTTAAGACAGGGATGTTGAAGATGGATTGTTTTAAAGGTGTAAGTTGTGACAAATTTCATTAAGTAACTATATATAAATCATATGTTTTGTTTGTAATTACATTGTTATCTGGACTTTACTAATATTGTTGATGTCATGTTACTCAAATATTCAGTATTTTTCTCGTTACCTTAACTGAGTATTGTTACCTTACAGTACCACTCACATAATTTAGAAAAAACTCGAGGCATCGTTTGGGCAACATATAAATATAGGTGAAGTAAAGTGAAGTTCAGTTTGAAAAAAGTTATAAAACATGACATTAGCCGTAACAGGCAATATTTTAATGTGAGGGATTATAATAAAGGTGGGAATTCCAATCTTAAACTATCATGTGAATAAGATAAATATTCTAAATAACTATGTAAGAAATTTTGTAGCGTGTGTTTATTCTCTAGTTTGATTTGTATTTTCTTTAACATTGTTTGTAACTTATTTCACTTTTTGTTTTGTTTTAATGTTAAAATATATTTTGCTGAATATGTATGTGTTATTTTAGGGTATTTCTTTTAGGGTTTTTTTTCCCTTTATGCATGATGGGTATTATCATCATCATTTTCAACAATATATATATTTAAAGTGTTTGTTTTTGTAATTTAAAAGGTCTTTTTGTGTGATTATTTTTGATATATATATATATATTTTGTTAAA